AACATGGACACAGAACTTGGCTGGAGATTGTGGCTAGAGATCCTGGCAAGGCTGCTGATCAACTGAACGCTGTCTCCATGTCATTCCTTCTTTGCCGACTCCGTCCACACCTTTGGGGACCCCTGGACCTGCTGGGGCTGGACCCTGGCAGCAGGTGTCAGCCCCTCTCTGCCCTCTCCCTGTCTGGAAGATGGTCCCAGACCCTGTTCCCTTGGCCAGCACGCCCTCAACAGCCCACCTGTGGCTCTGGGCTGGGATCCATCTCATGGAGCAGGGTAGGCTGGGCTGGGGAGATCCCTGTTCCCTAACCATACTCACCCTACCTCCCACCCCACCTTGAACATCTAGAGAAACCAAGATCATTTTGTAAAGCTGCAGTCCCCATCTCCTTCCAGGGAGGCTGTTGCCAAAGGCACTGTGGGAAACCAGTTTGTGCTGTTTGATGATGTCCCCCTGTACTGGGATGCGTGGGACGTCATGGAGTACCACCTGGGACATGATGGGGGTGGGCATACAGGCCTACTGGCGGCTCCATCAGCTGGTCCTAGCTCAGCACCTCCCGCGCATCCCCCAGGAAGCCAGTGCTGAGCCAGGCAGGGACCCTAGCAGTGGGTGCTGAGGGTGTGTGCGGGGCAGCGCCTGGTTCCTACTGATCAGCCCCCACAGTCAGCTCAGCCAAGAGGTTGTACTGGACGTCGTTTGCCCTATGTCCACTTCCACACCGAAATAGTAGGGGATAGGGTGGTGGTTGCCTTTCCTAGGTGTGGCTAGTCAGGAAGGGCTAGCCCCAGGCCTCACCCTTTACCCCCACTCCAGGTGCACTGGCATGAAACCCACAAATTTCTGAAGGTGGAGTTCCCTGCCTATGTGCAGAATCCCCAGGCCACCTATGAGGTTTAGTTTGGGCATCTGTAGCGTCCCACCCACTATACCACCTCTTGGGACTGGGCTTGATTTGAGGTCTGACATGGGTGGGGTGAGGAGGTTTGGATTCTCCCTGGCTGGGGAGAGACTCTTTGTGTCGAATGGGTTGAGGAGGAGCAATATTTGCTGGTTCCTAACATGTATGCCAGGCACTGTGCTAAATTCTTTATGTTTAGTTTGATACCCGTGCCTATTTGGTGGGCTAAATACTATTCTCCCCATTTCACAGATGAGGAACTGAGGCATAGACAGTTTGGGTAGTGTCCAGGGCCTCTCATTGTGAGAACTGGAATTCAATCCCAGGGTCCCAGAGCTTGCCACTTTAGTGATGGGAGTAAAAGATGGGTCTGGGATGTGCTCTTCAGGTGTGGGCCCACAGCTGGATGGACCTGTTGGAGCACAGCTTTGGGTTGGCCTACTCAGTGACTGCAAGTACAGAGCATCAGTTCGGGGCAGCATCCTCAGCCTCTCGCTGTGAGTGGTGTGCCCACCAAGCTCTGAGCCGGCATGGAGGTGTGGGTCTTCCCCTAGCCAGAACTCCAGCCCGGCCCATTCCTTCCTTCCCCGCAGCTTGCGGGCACCTAAGGCCCCTGATGCCACTGCTGACGTGAGGTGCCACGAGTTCACATATGCGCTGATGCCGCACAAGGGTGAGTGCTGCCTTGCCCCTTCTCTGCTCTTCGCCAAACCTCGGTTTTTTCTACAGTCAGTGGGGGAAACAGCAGCTCTGTGCCCACCCCTACCCCCTTTTGCACCACTGGTTCCTTTCCGGCCCTTGCCCAGGCTCCTTCCAAGATGCTGGCGTTACCCAAGCAGCCTACAGCCTCAATTTCCTGCTGTTGATGCTGCTGGAGTGCCTTCACTGTCTTCCTCCAGGTGGTGCTGGAGACCGTCCAGCAGGCAAGGGGTAAGCTAGGGTGGGGCGGGGTCCTGGTTGGGTTCACCCTTGGCCCTGCCCACCACCCACTTCCCTCAGCAGACTGAGGCCAGCCCCCAAGGGCCACACACTGGTGCTCAGGCTGTATGAGGCCCATGGCAGCCACGTGGACTGCTGGCTGCAAATGTCGCTGCCAGTTCAGGAGGCCCTCCTGTGAGTGGGGTGCGGGGAAGAGAGGAGCCCTGCCCTCACAGAGTCTTCATGGTCCCTCATGTTCTGCAGCTGTGACCCCTTGGAGCTGGCCACCTGCCCCTTAGGGACACTGACCTGAAACTCACTTTTTCTCCCTTCCAAGTACAGTCTCTATGGCTCAAGCTGCAACCTCCACTGAACTGAGTCTCTTGAGAGCGGGATTTTTTTGTGGAAGGCTTTGGGGCCTGACTGCCTTTCCAGCCCTAAGCAACAATAAATCTTTGGCTCAGGAGCCCTGCTGGTAACTCCTGCTCTCTCCCCTTAAGGCAAGTCCTCAAGGCTGTGAGAAGAGAAGTCTCTCCTGGGCATTTGGGGACAGGGGCAAAATCTAAGGTGATCTGTGTGTGCAGCAGGGTCTGGGTTGCAGCCCCCACAAGTGGGGATATGGATGACCACAAGATAAGAGCATGAGATAAGAAGTCCCTCCCCTGTGTCAGCAGGCAGAGGGCTGGGGTCTGGGTGGGTTCCAGCTAGCCCCCACTAGGAGGGGAGTACTAACTAGTCTGGCCAGGCTGGGGAGCAACCCCAGGCCCTGAGGAATCCTGGACTGGAGGAGCTATGGAGCCTGGGCTTCCTGAGAGGGGTCTCTGCACCACCTCTGAGGGGCTGTCCCTGAAGAGGCAGACTATCCTATGAAAGCCAGGCCTTGAGGACTGTGACGAGCCCAGTTTGCCTTGCTGAGGAGTTGGCCTCTTATACTCAGGGCCAGGCAACAGACCTAACTAACTTGGCCAGCCTAAGAAGTTTACCAATTTATATTTTTAAAAATACAGCATTTTTCACATGGGCTTAAAAAATGGGGATGGTGGGCACAATTAAAAACATAGTTATGTGGGGAACAGCCACAAGGTCACAGGCATCTAGCCCCTTTAACCTGTTGCATGCTTCTAGAAAGCCACACAACCCCCCAGATCCAAGGCAAGCCAGCGGGAAGGGATAGGTGCAAGCAAGGAGATCCTGCTAAGAGGCTGAGGTCTCCTCAGGCTCCAAAGATGGGGTGGCAGTCTTTATCTTTTAAGGTCTGCAGCAGCCTGTGGGGAGGACAGGTGAGGTGGCAACTCAGACCCCAGGTTGAAGATTGCCCGGACAGCCTTCCTTTTCACAAGTAACCTCTGCCCGTACTGCCATCCTTTCCTTCTGGAAAGCCCCGTTTGGTGGTGCCCCTTCCATCTCCAGAGGAAAATGCTCAGGAAGGCCCACCTGAGTTGGCCCTTCGCCCTCTCCTCTTCCCTTTCTCAGTGACTGGGGGGACTTTTGGGTCTTGGAGGCTGGTCCCCTCAGGCTGCTGGGCTGTTGTTTGCTCAGGAAGGCCTCTCCATGCCCTTCGTGTCCTGGAAGGGGCCTTGCTTGGGGGTGGATGATCCTGGATAGAGGAGAGACAGGTTCCTGAGATACTCAGCATCCCCCCCCCCCCCGCCCATTGTTAACAGAAGACAGTTGTCCAAAAGTCTGGTTTGGGAGGTCTGGCCAGGGCAGGGGAGATTTCAGGGAAGAGTTAGGAGCAGGGAGCCATACCTCCACTCCATCCTCAGGACCCCGCTGTGCTCTGCTGGATTTCTTCTTATGGGACTTGCCCCCTGAAGGACACTGATGCTGGGGTTGCAAGGTCCTATGGCCTTGGGCCCTTTATCCAGACTCCCACTTTGGGGTGACTCTTGGAGTGGGCACCAGAGACTGCTGCAACCCTTGCAGGCAACATATCCTTTCTGCTTTCTTAGCTTACTGTATTAGGAGTACCTTACCTTTGGGTGCCAGAGGTCCAGGATCCCCCTAAAGGGAACAGGGAATATTCAGGAATCAGCCCGGCTGGGACAGGGGTCGTTTTCCCTTGGAGAAGCAGGACTCACACCTATCTTTCTAGGTTACTGTAATCCTCCCCTAGGAAGCCTCTTACTGCCCACTCCCTGCCAGATCAGAGCCAACATCAAGGCCACCCTGCCTTGTGCTGCTCTACTAGCTGGGACCCTGGGATTCAGAGGAGGGGAGGGGCATAACATAGGGAAGGCCTAGAGACCCTCAGGGACAGTGTGAACTTGGGGGTCTAGATAGAGATCCCATCGCCTGCCTGGCTGTGACCCCAGGTCTCTGCCACACCTGCCTCTTTGGAATTTCTGTTTGCCTGTGTGAGCATTAGGACCCAAACCTGGAACCAGATGGTACGGCCGTGCCGGTCCCGCAGGGAGCGCATGCCCAATATGCCATAGCACTGCAGCCAGGCTCGAAAGGGTGCAAAATCCTCCTCCCCTCTCGCTTGCCCATAGCCCTTGCCGCCTGTGGACAGAGGAGCCAGACAGAGGTTAGAGCGCTAGAGGGCAGACTGAGGCTGGGAGGAGGGAGAGCCTGATGGACTAAGTCAGGGGCCAAGGCTCTCCCTTCTCCAGCTGTGTGACCTCTTCTTCACTCTGGGCCATGGCTTGCTCATCCTGGAGTGGGGTTAATAATCCTTGCCCTGCCTGCCTCATGTGTAGCTTGGAGGACAGACACCTGACAAGTGAGGAGGCCTAGTCCATTTAGCAACAACTAGGTCTACAAACTTCCATTCCCCAGGCAGGGAACCAGGCCCTGAGAAGGGCAACAACTGTCCCAGGGTTATACAATATGCCAACACAGGTAGTTGGCCATCTTTGGCTCCTGGGCCTCACCCAGCTGGACCACTTCCTTGGGCACTGAGTGGCACAGCTCCAGCAGATCTGGGTTCTGCAGCTTGGCCTTGATCTTCTGGCTCAGGGTCAACTTGGGGCTCTGGAAAAGGGGCAGAGCCACTCAGAAGGCAGCTGATCTGTCAGGAGCAGACCTCCTCTGAGCTTGGCAGGACTCAGAGATGGTTCATTCCCCTCCTCCCCAACACACACACACACACACACACACACACACACACACATTATAGAGAAGGAAAAACTAACAGCTGCTTGGGTTACACGAGACACCAGACCCAGCCCATAATCCTATCAGGCCTCACTGGTAGGTGAGTGTGCCTTCCTCCCCTGCACTCTCACCAGCCTGTGCTGCTTCAGTGCCTCCAGAACAGTGCGGGCCTTCTCAAAGGGGGGTATCCTCAGCCTACAGTGGGGTAGAAAGAGAGAAACATGCTAAGCAGTGGGAATGTGGGCACCCAGCTAACCCAGCCCTCGTGTCCATGGCCTGCATGCTAACCTGTATAGAATCTCTGCCCGCAGATAGTTGCCAATGCCATTGAAGAACCTCTGGTCCAAGAGGGCCTCACAGATGGGCCGGTCAAAGACCTTGTCTGCCAGGTTTCGTAACACATTCTCCCTGGAGGGACATGGTCTGGGCACATGAGACCCATTCTGCCCTCCCATCCCGCCTCCTTGCCATGGATGAAGGATAGGAACTGGGAGAACCTGCTCCTCGGTATAAGGGGAAGGAAATTGGGAGTCTCAGTTTCCCTTTTCCAAGCCTCAGTGCTATTTTGGCAGGGATAACCTCAGTTTCCCTATCTGTTAAATGAGAACAATATGGAATTTTAATTCATTACAAAGGTGAAAAATTCCAATCAAAAGCAACGAGTTCAAGGGAACACACGAGTCTTATCTGTTGTGTGAATGCCACCAGAGGATACCAGACTCCAGGCATTTTTGAAAGCAAGGTGATCACGGGACTTCAGGTGTGCCTACAATCTACAGCTCCCTATCTAGGACTTCTGAATGTTTAGATACGGAGAATTAACATTGAAGAGTCAATTCTTCTCCAGACCTAAAGATTTTATGAGGCTAGTACTAGCTCACTCAGCAAGTGCGTGGGAGTAAGGGCTCCAGCAATCCTTGCCTCACCTCTAAGGGTCATGGATCTCTCCTCAACATTGTGAAGAAGAAATGTATCTTGTTTCTTTGTGGAAAAGGGTCATGGCAAGACTGACTATCTGAAACAGGGACCAGAAGACAGTTCTGGTGTAAAGGAAAGAGTAGAAGGTTAGCCTGGTGACTAGCTCTCTGAACGCTCCCCAGCTTATAGGACCAAGAAAATAACTGAGATGCTCATTCTGTGAGAGAAACCTCAGAGCCAGCTGGCAAAGAGTTAACCTGTGAGCCAGCCATGTAGCGCTCTAGAGCAATGGTTCCCAACGTGGGGCACACAACCCATAGGGAGGCAACTTGATTTTTAAGGGGAGCAACTCAAGAATGAATTAACAGTGAATCTTTGGTATTTCTTATGGTTCTAGGGGCCTCATATACAGTATACAAATATATATTAACATTTTTTAAAAAATATATTTTATTGATTTTTTACAGAGAGGAAGGGAGAGGGATAGAGAGTCAGAAACATCGGTGAGAGAGAAACATCCATCAGCTGCCTCCTGCACATCTCCTACTGGGGATGTGCCCGCAACCCAGGTATGTGCCTGCAACCCAGGTACATGCCCTTGACCGGAATCGAACCTGGGACCTTTCAGTACGCAGGCCGACACTCTATCCACTGAGCCAAACCGGTTTCAGCTATATTGACATATTTGTGCATTTCTGTTCTCTATGTTTTGAAACTTTATTTGCAATTTTTTCCATATCACTTCATATTATTACTAGAGGCCCGGTGCACAAAAATTTGTGCACTCGGGGGGAGGGAGGGTCCCTCAGCCCGGCCTGTGCCCTCTCCCAGTCTGGGACCCCTCGGGAGATAACGACCTGCTGGCTTAGGCCTGCTCCCGGGTGGCAGAGGGCAGGCCCAATCCCTAGGTGCAATCCCTGGCCGGGCTCAAAGCAGGGCCGATTGGGGAGTTGGGGCGCTGCCCCCTGTCATGCTGATCCCAGGGACGGGAGGCCTCGTGGCTCCACTGAATCCAGCGCTGGGAGGCATATTACCCTTTTACTATATAGGATAGAGGCCTGGTGCATGGGTGGGGGCCAGCTTGTTTGCCCTGAAGGGTGTCCTGGATCAGGGTGGGGGTCCCCACTGGGGTGCCTGGCCAGCCTGGGTGAGGGGATGAGGGCTGTTTGCAGCTGGTCACACACCCTTCAGGGTAGGGGTCCCCACTGGGGTCCTGGCCAGTCTGGGTGAGGGGCTGAGGGCTGTTTTCAGGCTGGCGGGTGACTGAAGCTCCCAAAGGCTCCTTTTTTTCTTTTTTTTAAATTTTATTCTGGGCCAGCTTTAGCTCTGGCTCCAGCTCTGAGGCCTCTGCTGCTGAAAGCAGGTATCTGGTTTGTTTGGGTTCTATAATCAAAACACTGTATCAACTCCAGCTCTGAGATCCCGGCTAGCTGAAAGCAGGTTTCTGGGGTTTTTTTAGCTTCTATATTTGTCACAATGTTTCAAACTGCAATCTCAGAGGCTGGCAAGGCATGTGGGGAACGTTGGTTTCCTCCGTCACTGGAGGAGGAAAGTCTCATGTTTGCTTCAAGCTGCCTGGCTGCCAGCCGCCATCTTGGCTGGCATTTAATTTGCATATCTCGCTGATTAGCCAATGGGAAGGGTAGCGGACGTACAGCTAATTACCACGTTTCTCTTTTATTAGATAGGATTTTTAAAACAATTTCTTAGTGATTTCTTCCCCAGGAGAGGTGAGTGGAGGAATCCAAGGCCACAGATGTTTCCCTGTGGGTGCACTTGGGGTCCTGCCTAGGAAGGCCAGGAGTCAACTGCCTCCTGTGGCACCAGACATGCCCTGACCCACAGTGGGCAGCTAAGTCTCCTAAGGGTCAAGTGAAGGTGGGCAGTCCCCAAGGAAGGGAGGATCTACCAAATGTGCTCCAGGCCTTTGCATCTGTGGTGCTGGTCCGTTTGAATGTTCTTCCTCTAGAGCAGTGGTTCACAACCTTTTTTTAGCCATGCCCCACCTGAGCATCTCTAAAATCCTGGTGCCTCTCCCCCTCCCCTGTGACATAATTCTTATTATTGACGTGGAGGAAGCCTAAAAGGCCACTAACTTGGTCTAAACAAGCTTCCAAAGAACATGGCATCCATGAAAGAGAAAAATAAAAGAATGAAAGGACAGTTGAAGTACTGAGGAAGAAATCACTAAGAAATTGTTTTAAAAATAATAATATGAAGTGATATGGAAAAAATTGCAAATAAAGTTTCAAAACATAACTGAAATGCACAAATATGTCAATATATATTTATATACTGTATATGAGCCCCTAGAACCATAAGAAATACCAAATTCACTGTTAATTCATTCTCAAGTTGCCCCCCTATGGGTTGTGTGCCCCACGTTGGGAACCACTGCTCTGGAGCTTTGCATGGCTGGCTCTCAAGCAGGTCTCAGCTCAAATGTCACTTCCTAGAATGTGATCTTTCCTAATGTGCCTCCCCTTAGCCCCTTCCTGGCCAAAAGTAATTCTCTCCCTCTTGGATTTGGGTTTTTTAGAAATGTGTCTATATGAATTAATCTAGTTTGTTTCCTTGTCCTCCCTGCCCTGCCTGAACTTCAGCCCTTGATCTCTGCTATACCCCAACACCTATAGCGGGGCCTGGCACAAAACAGAGACTCATACACATTTCCTCTTTAGAGGAAGAAAAGTGGCTGACACTGCCATCGTAAGTGACCTGCATCACATCCCAGGTAGAAGACAGTCAGTGAGGAGACGATGAGACACAGACCAGTGGGCAGACAATGTGGGAGACCACAAAACCTGATTCAGAAACCATGTCATTAGGCTGTTCCCTCCCCACTACCTTGAAAACCTTCCTTCCGGCTCAGCCTCCCTTCTTTTATGTTGTTAAAACCCTCTACCTTTCTAAGGGCCTCCTGAGGGCACCAAGAAGCAGTGTGGGACACTGATCCAGCCTCAGCTCTCACAGTAACTGTCTATGTCTTCAGGGCATGCCTACCTATTCACCTCACCCCTACCTCCTCCCATATCAGTTTTGGGTTTTCACATCCATTAGCTCAGGGAGCTGTCTCCAGGGAAATACACTGTCTTGGTCTACAGAGGAAGGAAGGGAGGCTCAGAAGGGTCTGGGACTTGCCCCTCACCTACCTGAACTGTTCATACTCCAGCAAGACGCATGGCCCGCGGCCTGGTTGCCACTCGCCCGTGAGCTCCCAGTGGCCAAAGCGGCGGATGTCCACGAAGCAGAGGGTGAATTGGGGACCAGGAGGAGCCGTGTAAAAGCGCAGATGGGCATGGGGTGGTAGTGCATTGCTGGGTACCAGCTGGAAGGATCCAGACATGCCAAAGTGGAAGATGAGGGCCACTGGCTCCTGTGGGGGCTGGGCCCCAGGCAGGGGGCTCAGTGTCAATCGAAGCTCCTTGCCACGGGCTGAGGCTGAGATGTAGTAGGCACTGCTCTCAAAGGGCACCTCAGGGTTGCGGCTGATGGGTGACTTCTCCACACACCCGCCAAACACCAGCCCCCTGCATGCCTCGTTCACAAACTGGCTGGCCAGATGCAGCTCAGGGCCCTCAGGCATTTTGTGGGGGGGAGGATGGCTGCAAGTTAGAACAGGTGTGCACCTTGTGAGGGAGGATTCATCACCCCCATTTCACAAAGGAGGGCCCTGCCAATCAGGGGATCATGGACAGCTGGGTTTGGCAGAAAATTCTGCTGGCCTGGCCACAGCCCTTGGCCCCCAACTGAAAATGCTGGGAAAGCCCATGGCACTGGTAAGTTCAGGCTGGGAGAGCGTGAGTGCCTTTATGAACCTCCCATGAACCCTCGCTGCTTTTAGAATAAAGTCCAGATCCTTCCTGGGCCCATGTTGTCATTTCATTTCTTCCCAGGCTCCCCCTCACTCACTTGCTCCAAGCACACTGCTCTCTCACCCCCCGCCTTTGCTCAGCCTCAGAGCACTTGAGCCACCCTCCCTGGTCACCCTTCTGAAGTAGCCTCTCCACCCCAGCCGCCACCAGACACGTTTTCTTTTCTTCATGGCACTCCCATATCTGAAATCGGCTGTTGTCTGCCTCTACCTCTCCCCTGAAAGCTCAGCTTGTTCACCGCACCGCTCAGAACCGACCTCATCTGTTGTCATAATCCCTGAGGGAATGAGCATGGACCGCACCTGGGAGTTGGGAGCTGGGAAAACTAACGTTCAGAGAGGCTCAGCTGGCAGGACGAGTCAGGACAGGAGGAGGGGATGCAGATGTCTCTAGGTACGTCTGTGCCTGGTAGGTCTCGAAGAGCTCCAGGCTAAAGGTCCAGGATCGAACAGGACACGCCTGCTCGGCGCTTAGGCCCAAGGGGAACCTGCTCCACCTCTCCTTACCCCTGGCCACCTGGCTGAGGAGGGGAGCTTGCCGCTTACCTCCCTCCCCCCCGCCTCCCACACCTCCCCGAGATGCTGAGGGATCTAAGGCGCAGATGTGGTCGGGCAGAGGGGCCCTTTAGCCAGGGCAGACTCCTTTCCCCTCCCATACCTTCAAGCAGTCTGGGACCCGGCACCCGAGAGGGTTCGCGCTGCTGGAAAAAGTGAAGGCCCAGATTCCTAGTTCCGCTGAGGGCGGGCACTCTGGCTCGCTCCCCCAATCCTTGTCACTCACTCCCGCTGCCTGTCCTCGGTACACCCTGGCTCCCTTCCTCCCCAAAGCCGCCAAATCCCACCGGGTTACCTGCGCCCCACGTCCCTCTCCGCCAACCTGCGGCCACTAGGGTTTTGCAGTCGAGGGGCGGAGCCGTGCTGAAGAGCACATCCCAAACCGGTTGCTGCTCCAGCGCCCGCTGGGAAATGTAGTTCCTGGGGCAGGGGCCCAGGCCTTCGGGTTGGGGTCTCGGAGCTGAGGGTCTGGGGTGTCGGAAAGGCTTTGGGGCAGTCACCTGGCTGGGAAGGTGGCGCCGGGATCCGGGGTGAGGTCCGAGGTCCTGCGTCGCAGCTGTCCGTGGCTGGAGAAGTCACCAGGCTAGTGACAGGTCAGCACTCCCAGCCTGAAACAGCATCCCTGTCCCTAAGCAGAGGCTCCTGCCAGATGTGCGCAGGGAGCACGCAGGTGCGCGATAAATGCAGGCCCTGGGGACCCAGTGGTGGCACTAAGTATCAACGCACAGTCACACATAACTTATAAACAGAATCATTACCGCCTGTGGGTAAGAAATGCAGCCAAGCAACAAAAAACAGGCGAGAAAGCAGAACCCACGACAGGTGGTTCTGTGGGGGTAGGGTCTCTCTGCAGTGACAGGCTGAGACCTCAGAAGTAGCCAGCAAAGAGTGGGGCTGGCACATGCTAGGGGGAATCGGAGCCACCAACACGGCTGTGGGCAAGAGCAGCAAGATGCTGCATGCAGCACATTGACTACAGGATGAGGTGCACCCTGCAGAATGGTACTGTATTGGCACCTTCACAAGGTTTTCGACAAGCATATGAATTTGATCCAATGTGATTGAGATGAATTCAATAAGTCAAGCAGAAAGAGAAGTGAGTACTCAGTCTGGAGTGGCTTCAAAGGGAAAACTTGGTCTGGACAGTAGAGGGACCTCCTCCCAAAGATACTGGCATTGCCCTAGTGCCACTTGCTGGAGCTATTGGGGGCCCGGGGATTGGTAAGGCTGCTGGCAAAGGCATCCTACCTGGTGTTCCCATGCCCCAGGTGTCTGCAGGACATGCCAGTCCAGTCCATGGGGCCATCCCAACTCTGCAAGAGGCACTGTTGCAGCTGCTGCCACTGCCAGTATTGCAGGGGCCCTAACCCAGTACAGACCTGGCCATGGGGTCCTTCCCCACCTATGGGCTGAGGGACACCCCTCCAGGCATGATGGTCCCACCTCTTGGTATGAGGCTTCTCACTGGTCCCCCTAAGGGTATCCTCCTGGAGGAGGTACTTCAGTGGGCATGTCCACTCCTGGAATGCAGCCCCCCTCCCCTAGGAATGTGAGGACTTCTTTGACCCCTGGCCACAGAGTTATGGAAGTAGCTTCAGAGGCATGGGCCCAGTTCCCCAGGGCCATGTTACCACAGACCTGTTTGTTTCTTATGCTGTTGGGAGTCTCACCAGATTGGTTTCCCTTACAGGGGCCCCTCCCCAGGGAATCGCCCATCTTGGCCTTCCTCAGCTGTTTCTCAAGGTACTGTTCATAGTCCTTTTATTTCCATGTGGCCTGTGAAATAAATTTATAATAAAATCTTAAGATTATATATATATAATCAATATGCCAGATGAAAGGAATGGCCAGTGCAAAGGCCTGGAGGAAGGAAAGCAATGGGCTCATTGAAAGAAGGCCTGTGTGGCTGAAGTGTAACTGGGAGAGTGCTGGGAGGTGAGGACAGACCAAGCAAGGTCAGGTCAGGCCTCAAGAGGCCTCTGTAAGTTTCTTCCTAAGTGTGCCTGACCAATAGTCATGATCTGTGCCCTTCATACTAGGACTTCTGCCTCTTCCTTCCTTCATCTACTAATTCATTTATTTTGGGAGAAGTATTTTAAAGTAAATTAGACAAATTATGACATTTCATCCCTAATATTTCAACATGCATCTCTAAAAAGCAATTTCCTACAAAGCCACAATACATTTATCCAGTGATTTTCAACTTTTTTCATCTCATGGCACACATTAACTACGAAAATTCTGTGTCACACCAAAAAGTGTATTTTTTCCAATCTGACAAAAAATAGGTTTAACATTGATTCATTCACACTGGACGGCTATTGTTGTATTGGCTGTTGTCATGTTTTAATTTGACAATCGAAAGGAAAAGAGGTCAGTGCCCTGACTAAATAGCAGGAATTGCATGGCTTTGTTTTGAAATATACTTTTATTGAATTCAGAGAGGAAGGAAGAGGGAAAGAAACATCAATGATGAGAGAGAATTGTTGATCGGCTGCTTAATGCATGTCCCCTACTGGGGAGCAAGCCCAAAACCCAGGCATGTACCCTTGAAGGGAATCGAACCTGGGACCCTTGAGTCTGCAGGCTGATGCTCTATCCACTGAGCCAAACTGGCTAGGGCTGGAATTGCATGTTTAAAAAATCTTGCAGCACACCAGCATGCCTCGGCACACTGAAAATCTCTGCCTTTATCATACCTAATAAAATTAATAACTTCTTAACATCATCTAACACCTAATCCACATTCAAATTTCTCTAATTGTTCCCAAAATGTCTTTTATAGCTATTTGTTCAAGGCAGAGTCCAACCAAAGATTATGTATTTTCTTAAAAAGTTATTCTTAGTATCCGAAATATCCAGTTTCATATCACAGTCACCTTTTACCATATGACTTTAGCATCCCTGACAATCCTGCCTCAACCAAGTACTTAATTAGGAGTCACAAAATGGTTATTTTCTAATTCTGTTATTCCGTCAACATTAGTTGGAATTTTTTTGTAAAGAACTTTACCTCATTGACTAGGGCTATATGGTTATCCTGAAATGCGAAAAAGACAGGATAAATTTTAAATTCCTTTCATTTAATGATCAATTTTCAGACTAAGAATTTGGTGCAATAACAACATCCAATGGTGACAAATTAGGATTGATTTGTGGGTGTGGTTTTTCTTCCTTTGGAGGGTGCAGGGACATTTTATGGACTCAGATTTTATTTTTATTTATTTATTTTTTTGGACTCAGATTTTAATTTTTGACACTCAACATCTTTAAATTCATTGCAGTCAACATCTTTAAATCCATTGCAGTCCATATCCCTCCCTACCCCAACCCACCCCCATTACTGAAAGAGTATTTTATTAGGCATTGGGGCTATTCAACTATGGAACACAATTCTCATCCTTAAGAAACTCAGGCTGGGAAAAGAGGCAAATGAGTCAATAAAAAGTTACAATGCACTGTTACTAATATTTACTAATGCAATGAGAGATGTGTCTGTGGGATTCTGTGATAACATAGAAGTCTACTGTATATTTTTACTCTTTTCAAGATTCCTTCTTTCATCATTTCCCTTCTATTTAGAGATGCTCCTATACCCTTTTTATTTTTAGGTTAGGTCTGCTGGTAACACATTATATTAATTATACCTTTCATCTGAGAATGTCTTGATTTCCCTTTTTTAAAAAAATATATTTTATTGATTTTTTTACAGAGAGGAAGGGAGAGAGATAGTCAGAAACATCGATGAGAGAGAAACATCGACCAGCTGCCTCCTGCACATCTCCTACTGGGGATGTGCCCGCAACCCAGGTACATGCCCTTGACCAGAATCGAACCCGGGACCTTTCAGTCCGCAGGCCGATGCTCCATCCACTGAGCCAAACCGGTTTTGGCTTGATTTCCCTTTTTATTCTTGAGGTAATTTTCACTGAATACAGGATTCTGGGTTGACACTTTTCTTTCAGGGCCTGAAAAATGCTGTGCTTCCTCCTTCTGGTCTGATTTCTGATGAGAAATACAATTCTAATTGTTTCCCCGTTATAGGTGAGGTGCCACTTCTCTCTTGCTGTTTTCAATATTTCTTTCTTTCCTTTAGTTTTCCGAAGTTTGGTTATGATATATCTTGGCATGGGTTCCTCTGGGTTGATCTATGTGGGGTCCATTCTGCTTAACTCTGTAGGTTTGTCTTGTGCCATATTTGGGAGTTTTTCAGCCATTATTTCAATACTTTTCTGTCCCACCCTCTTTCTCTTCACTTTCTGGAACACTGTGATGACATGAATATGAGATCTTCTGTTAAAGTCCTACAGGTCCCCCGGATGTTGTGGGTGTATTCCCATGCTATTTCTCTCTGTTGTCCACATTGGGTAATTTCTATTGATCTTTCTTCTGCTGTTAAGTCCATCCACTGAGATTTTACTTTGGTTATTTAGCTCTCAGTTCTAAAAATTCTCTGGTTCTTTTTATCTTTTCTTTCTTTGCTGAGGCTTGAAGCATTTTTATGATGGCTGCTTTATAAATATGTGACATAGAATTCTAACGTCTGAGTCATCTTAATGTTGGTATTGGTTGTCTTCTCATGCAAGTTGAGATTTTCTAGGTTCTTGGTATGAATGATTTTATAATTGAATCCTGGATGTTTATATTATGACTGTGGATCTTAACTGTCTCATTTAAAGTAGGTCTCTTCTGACACACTGCCAGTGGGGAAAGGGGGAAATGCCTCCTTACTGCCTTGGGAATCTAGGCCCCTACTCAGCCTCTGCTGGTAGGTGGAAGAGCAGCTGTACTTGTGGGTGTGGCTGGAAGCTGCTTCTGTAAGATTTCTGTCTTGCTGAACTTGGTCCTTTGGCTAGAGAGAACAGGCTGTTTAAAAAAAATCCTCATCTGAGGTATTTTTTCCATTGCTTTTCAGAGAGTGGAAGGAAGGGAGTAAGAAAGGTAAGGAGATAGACAGAGACATCGATGTGAGCAAGACACATCGACTGGGTACCTACTGCATGCACCCTGACCAGGGGTGGGGAGCGAACAACCCAGGTATGTGCCCTCAATTGGGAATCGAACCCACGACCTTTTAGTGACAGGGCAGA